ACTCTGTCCTGAATTTTAGGCCTGCAAACACTATGACCCACTGGACATCACTTCTTGTAGGTTCCTTAAAGTCAGCATATTCAAAACAGAGCTCAGCATCTTCCTTCTGGAACCTAACCTTCCTCTTTTGTTTCTTAACACGGGGTATGATGTTATTACCCCCAGATCACTTAAACCAGAGTCCTGGATGTCACCTTTACCTTCTCTCCTCCCTTCACTATCACCCACGATTTATTGTGCCAATCACCATATGATTTATTGTGCTTTGATATATCTGGGTAACATTCACTTTTTTCCACTGTCACACCCTCGGGCCCAGCCTGGGCTCCTAATATTTTCCTAGCTGCCCTCTGCCTTCACTCTTGGCCCTTTCTATACCTTCGCCTGTGCAACAGAGGACTCGTTCAGAAGCACAAATCTGATCATGTGACTCCTCCCTTAAAGCCCTTGAATGACTCCCCATTGCCCTTAGGAGAAGGCTCTAAAATCTTTAACAGCTTACACAGATCTTCCTCATGTCTCCCTTCATTTTTTCATCCTCCACTATTGTGTCCTCCCCACCCCTGCCTGAAGCACCTCACCAAATAAACTCACAGCTCTCAGAAAGCTCCGTTTATTTTACCTCTGGGCCCTCACATGATGGCCTACTCTCTACTCCTCTTCCCCTTCATGAACAACTTCAGTTCATCAAGTCTTAGCTTACTATCCCTTTCTCTAAGATTAATTTCTCAAAACTAAGTTAAGAGGGGCCCTTCCAGCCCTCTCCAGTTTTCTCAACGGTTAGAACATCAGTCTGCAGTGGTGCATTTGGGAGGCAACCAATCAATTTCTCTCTCTCACAACAATGTTTCTCCCTCCCTCCCTCCCTGCTTCCCTCCCTTCAACTCTCTCTAAAAATCAATGGAAATAATATCTTCGGGTGAGGATTAAAAAAAAAAAGAGGGGCCCCTCCATAACATCCTGTGCTGATATTTCATGTAGCACTTACCAGTTGGTATTGTGGCTGCCTGTTTGTGTGCTGCCCTACTATGCAGTGTGCTCTTTAAGGGCAGGGACCTGATCACTGGCACATAGAGGCTGCCAATAAGCCTTCAGAGAATGAATGAATGAATGAATGAATGAATGAGATAAGATAGAGGCAGGGACCAGATCATAAAGGGCTTTATGTTCAAGGCTAAGAAGTTGATTTTGATATTAAGTTTAAGTCAAGGGCAAGTTATGAAAGGTTTACAATAATGATGTTCACTAGCAGGTCATGTAAATGAGTTAAAAGTAAGTTAATTTTAAAAGGTACGTATTCATTTCCCACTGAAGGAACCAAAGTTCCTTACAGGAATAACTAATTCTAGGTCTGGAGGAGGAAATACACAACATGAGTCTGAAACAGCTTGTGCCGGAATGCAAAGGGTAACAGGACCGCAAAGAACACACGAGCCCACATGAAGGTACTCCTAATAGCCAAAATGGGACAATTTCAGTATCAGAAGAAACAATGAATGAGGTGGTTGAAACACAATAAATATATACAAATTTTAGCACCTCCACACAGAAATAAAAAAGCACTGAACTCCATTAGAAGCACATACAACAAGTATCTTATTTACATCTTAGGTTTAACAAACAGAACGTAAAAAATATTTTTAAGGCAATAGAGGACATTTTAATACAAGACTGGGTATTTGACAGTACCAAAGAATTACTGATAATTTTGTTGGGTGTGATAATCATGATATTGTAAGAAAATGCTTGTTTTATTTTTATACATAGGAGTTAAATAACAACGTTTGTGATTTCTTTTGTAAAAAGATGGTAATAGAGATAGCTTAGAGAATATCTACATGTTTTCATATGCTAGCCTAAAAGAGCATTAGTTTTAATTTTGGTGTTTATTTAAAGTGATTTTAAGCTAATTACATATTAAAATAGGCTCTAGCTGTGTATATGTGTGGCTTGTATCCCTGAAGGCAAGAGGGAGAGTTCTGCCACCATCTTGACTCAAGAAAAGTATATTTCTTACAAAGTTAATTCTTGATGGCAACATATTTAAAATGCAGTGATTTAAAATGCACTTTCAGGGATATAGTATATGCACAAGACACACAAGAAATGGTCTTTGCCTGCAAGCCACCTTCAGTTTAAAGAAAACAAATATTCTTTAGGTTTTTAAATTAGAACTCTGTCACAAATGTGAGTTCTGTAACCTGGCCATTGTAAACATGTAAACAGTATTTCTGGAATAATGTATGAAAAGCCTTTTCCAGCTGTCAAACATTATACAAATATAAGTGATTTTATTTATTTATTTATTTATTTACTTACTTACTTACTTACTTACTTATTTTTATTAATCCTCACCCAAGGATATTTTTCCCATTGATTTTTAGAAAGGGTGGGAGGGAGGGGGAGAGAGCCAGAGAGAGAAACATCAATGTGAGAGAGACACATCGATTGGTTGCCTCCAGCACGTGCCCCGGCCAGGCCTGGGAATCCAGCCTGCAACCGAGGTGACTGCCCTTGACCAGAATTGAACCCTCAACCCTTCAGGCTGCAGGTCTAACCACTGAGCAACTCATTAGGGCTATAAGGTTTTATTTTTATTAAATGTCTGGAAAAATGAAAAATATAGATAAAATAGAGTTTATCATTAGATCAAGAATTCTTTTTGCCACATTATTTGGATGAAAATTTATGTTTTCTAGCTGATGAAAATATAGAATATTTGTTAACATGACTATAATTTCCCTTTAGTCATCAACTGAATAATGGTGTCTTCTGGTACTGACTTTTTCTTATTTAAATTAGTCAAAGGAGGTTCGTCATCCATATAAAGGCAAAAGTTCTCTGAATGTTCAAAGAAACTGTGACTATATGTAACTTCTCTGTAGAAATATAGATTACTGAATCTAATTTGAAATTATAAAGTATATGATACCTTAATTTATATATACATTGATTTTTAGTATAAAGAGATTATTGTGCTTTTTCTTATGAAATCTGTTCTGGTCTTTTGGGAAAAAAAATAGTTTAGTATAACAATCTATTATCATAGGTGCCAAAGGATAAAAATGGTTTTTTCCAAGGATCTTCACAAATTGCTAACTCTTATTGGGAAAGACTAAAAAACCAACTTCAAAATAATTCTGCTGATACTGTATTTTTTCTGAGATTTTGCTTTTCTAAGCTTATTTGTTTGTGAAAACTACATTTCTGCTGTTTTTGGAGTATCTCAGAGGACAGAGGGATTTTACCATTATTCTTTAAATGCAATGTGGCAATAACTAGAAGTGGATATATAGGAAAGTAAAATCTCAAAGCTCATTCCTACTTTATTTAGATACTATTTATTAAACACTGTATGCTAAGCACAATTGGTAAAGTATCAAAACAGCACAATGGGATAGGTTCTATCATTACCCTCATTTTATAGATGAGAAAATTGAGGCACAGACAGACCAGGTAACTGGTCTATGGTTATTACCTAGCTGAGTAGGGGCAGATGTAGGATTCCAATTAACCTGTCTGAGCTGCCCCCGATGCTTATAATCATATTCTTCTGCCTCTATCATGGTTATCACTGAATTTTTAATGATTATTTATCTTCCTATGTCTCCACTAGAAAATAAACTTTTTTCAGGAAGTGTGAAAAAACCTTTTTTTTGTTTTGTTAATCCTCACCCAAGGATATGTTTCTATTGATTTTTTTTTTTTTTTTTTTTTTTTAGGGAGAGTGGAAGAGAGAGGGAAAGAGAGTAGAAACATTGGTTGGTTGCCTCCTGCACAAGCCCCAACAACTGGTCTGGGGAGAAGCCTGCAACCAAGGTACGTTTCCTTGACCAGAATCGAACCTGGGATCCTTTGGTCTGCAGGATGACGCTCTATCCACTGAGCCAAACCAGGCAGGGCTGGAAGTTTGAATTTTTCTTTCTTTTTTTAAAAAATCTATTTTTATTGATTTCAGAGAAGAAGAGAGGGGAAGAGAGAGATAGGAACATCAATGATGAGAGAATCATTGATCAGCTGCCTCCTACTGGGGATCAAGCCCACAGTCAGGCATGTGCACTTGACTGGAATCGAATCCCAGACACTTCAGTTCGTGGACCAACGCTCTATCCACTGAGCCAAACCGGCTAGGTCTGAAATTTTCTCTTAATAAGAGAGGTGTGTGATTGGATAGGGGAGAACATCTTAGATTAAAAAAAAAAAATAGAGTGAGAGGTAGTGGGCAAGAATCAAAATTCCATGTAAATAGCTGATATCAAGGTTTGTGGCATAAGTGGTAAAAATATTTTTAATTCAAGTCAGAAATTCTAAGAAGTTTCTACCAACTTACATAGGACAAGAAACCTCTATCCTATCATTACTTTGCACTCTGCTTTTCTGAATCACTAGTTGTGTGAGCTTGAACAGGTTACTTAGCCTTTCTGAGATGCTATAAATGCAACGGTAATTCCCAGCTTAGCCCCTTACTGGGACTGAATGAACTAGTGCATGAAAAGTACTGCATGTGGGAAAATGTGAAGGACTGAGAGGGTATTATACTAAATGAAATAAGTCAGGCGAGAAAGACAAATATTCTATGATATCACTTACATATAAAATCGAAAGAACAAAATAAACAGAACAGAAGTAGACTCATAGATACAGAGAACAAACTGATGGTGCCAGATGGGGAGGGTGGTCAGGAGGCTGTGTGAAAAAGGTGAAGGGATTAAGAAGTTCAACTTGGTAGTTACAAAAAATAGCCACAGGGATATAATGTACAGCACAGGGAAAATAATAGTCAATAATATTGCAACAACTATGTGTCGTGCCAGGTGGGTACTAGACTTATCAGAGGGATCACTTCGTAAGTTATATAAATGTCCAACCACTGTGCTGTATACTTGAAAGTAATATAAACAATATTAAATGTCAACTGTAATTGAAAAATTAAAATAAAATATCCCAAACAGGAAAAAATAACTATATTGAAATTCCATTAGTAACAAAGTTTTACATACCTGTCAATTAATTGGTATTCCTCAACTGCTGTCTCCTATCATTTTGTACATGTGAAGTTTTCTTGTGTTTCTGTAGATCTGAGGAGAAAATCAAGCACTTCAGTCAACTTAAATCTGAACTTTTTCTTAAAGACAATACTTTGAGGAAGATAGTTTGTTTAATTACGGAACTTAAAGTAGCAGCCCAGAAAAACTACATTCTGAAAAGGCTTTTCTGGAAAGTAGGTGTTTTAATTTTAACCTTTAAAATGTGTTTCAACTGTTTATCAAACGCAGTATATTCAAGGATCAAGTAAAATGCTGTATAAAAAAATGCCACCTTGTGTTTTGATGCTGTATTTTACAATCTTGACTAAATTTAATGTAATTGTGCCTTAACACTGGAAATGTGATGTAATTAATGTATGTGTGTGTTGGGGTGGGGTAGATGGGAAGAGAGGAGAGTGGTAGCAAAAAGACAGTAGCTTGCATAGGTTGGGTTTACAGAATCAAAGAAAAGAGTAACTAAGGGGAAGCTTCTGGCTTATGAGATGTATGAGTAGAGACAGTGAGATGAGAAAGTAAATTTGAAGAAGTTTTACATGAAGGTTTCCCTACAATAAAAATACACTTAAAAATTACTTTTGAATGTTTTGAGTCAAAACAACCTAGCTCTCATTCAGCAAGTTTACAGACTTCCCCTGTAAGACTTCCTTAGTTTCATTTTCACCTGAAACTTCAGGTGAAAGGTACTGAGAAGGTATTGAGAAGCCCTGATTAGTGCTGGTTGGTGCTGGTGCGAATGAGGCTCATTCTCGCCAGTGGCCTCATCCATAGTTGCCACCATTTCACTGAGCAGTTGTGATGTGCACAACCTCCCCAACCATACAGGACAGGCCTGGCCATTCCTTAGATCAGCGGTTCTCCATCTGTGGGTCGCCAACCTGTGGGTCGCGACCCCTTTGGGGGTCGAACGACCCTTTCACAGGGGTTGCCTAAGACCATCGGAAAACACATATATAATTACATATTGTTTTTGTGATTAATCACTATGCTTTAATTATGTTCAATTTGTAACAATGAAAATACATCCTGCATATCAGATATTTACATTACAATTCATAACAGTGGCAAAATTACAGTTATGAAGTAGCAACGAAAATAATTTTATGGTTGGGGGTCACCACAACATGAGGAACTGTATTAAAGGGTCGCGGCATTAGGAAGGTTGAGAACCACTGCCTTAGATCCTAAATGCTTCACATGTAGGATGATCGCTATTCTGGTTTGCCCTCTGTAGGGTGAACAACTGTCCCAGTTGACCATCCCACTCAGGATTTAAAACATTTTTATCACCCTCATAGGTTACCTTTTGCCCTTCGGCAGTCACTTCTTCCCAACCCTGGCCTCAGGCAACTATTGTGTTTTCTGTCACTATAGGTTAGTTTTGCCTGTCCTAGGATGCCAGTTATATGGAATTGTACACTAGGTACTGTTTTGTGTCTGGCTTCTTTGGCATAGTATTTTTTAGATTCTTTCATGTTGTTACAGGTAGGTGGGAGATGTTTTATGAGTGAAAATTTCTGAACCAGTAAGCAAGTGGGAGATAATAACAACAGATATTTATTAAGCACTTATGATGTGCTAGCTACTATTCAGGCTTTATAAATACTATCTTACTTAATCCTAACATCAACTCAATGAGGGGACATTATTAAGCCTATGGTAGAGATGAAGAAACTGAGTCACAGAGTATATTTGAAAGTTGCCAAATGTCATCCAACTCATCAGTGGCAGAGCTGGGATTTGAACTCAAGAACCTGGCCCCAGAGTCAGTGTGTAAAACTACCACACTAGGCTAATCTATCAGGGCTCTGGGTGAGCCCAAGCATTTCTGATGGGCCTGGTGACCAGCTTGCTCTTCCCTCTTTATTCCCTCTCTTCACCTGTCATCCTCAGCCTCTTCTCATGCCATATCACCTAAACAAGGGCACACATATCCCTGTCTAAGCAAAGAATCTAAGTTGTCACTAGTTAAAAAAAAAAAGTTCTGGGGAAAAATTGAACAATAGAGGAAGAGAAAAGAGAAACAATTACGTCATATTTCTCATTAGTACCAACTTACCTGATTTCATGGGCCAGTGCTTATTTTCATGCTTGATTTATCTCATGAGACTGGATAGGAACACAGAAAAATTGGTTCCCCCACCATACTTCAGTGTTTATTTTGGCAGGAATGACAATGTACATTTCCACTGCATTAACAGAAGTATTAATATCATTCTGCTCCATCTTCATAAGCTATAGGAGTGCTCTACATTTGTTTTTGTAACAGTAAATATTTTTAAATGAGAGCTTATCTAGCCTTGATTTCATTATATATTCACAAAGGCCAAATTACTTTGGAAAGGCAGGAATTATAGTGGCCCCCAGTTAATATAGTATTCCAAGGTAACTGAATGACTTGCCTGAGATTATCACTTATTTCTGGATACTCTTCAATATTAATGGTCAAACCAAGTCTAGAAGGCTTCTCCCAGCATCATTCTCTAGACTTTAGCTCTTGCTCTGTTCACCAGGACAATGGTCTCCTGATTATAAGTAAAAGTATGTTTTCAATGCAAGTTATGCTAGTATTAATGAGAGATATTTTAAATCACTTCCTGGCCAAAGAAGAAATCATTTCTTCTTTTTATTATTATGTAAGCATCGAGAGTTTTACCAATAGATACCTTAACTTCATCATCTTTCCTGCTTGCTTTCACAGACCAGTGACCTTTTCTATTTCTTAGTGAACAAACTTCAAGAGTACTTACCAGAATCTAGGGATAAGAATGCACTTCAAAATAAAAGCCAAAGAGCTGATGAGCTGGTGTAAGTACTAACTGGATAATCACACATATTATTTTTCCCTAGAGTGTTAAAGATAAATGGAAGGCACTAGACAAAATATATACTGTTTTAATGATTAATGGTGCTGCAAGTTTTGCTTCACATAGAATTTATAAAATAGCATTCATTTTGTGCTAATTTGTAAAGAAAGACTACACAAGAAACTATTGGCTGTCCTAAAGGGGGAAAATTGGGTGTTCTGGAGGAAAGACACTTTTTATTGTATGTATTTTTTTTTAACCTTTGAAATTTTGAGCCTAATATTACCTACTTGAAAAAGTTAAATTATTTTTTTAAAAAGTAGTGCATAATTATTATAAAAACTTTAGAAAATACACAGAAATATGAAAATGACTTTTAATCCTGACATCCAGCTATTCATGCATTCAGCAAGTATTTTTGGGTGCTTACTATGTAGCAATCATAGAGTAGGCACTCAATTAGTGTTGGCAATTTGATATACGGAATTTCCTTCCTGTACTGTACTTTTTTCCACATAGGTACCTGAGTGCAATTCTATTAAGGATTACTGACTTTGTGGAATTTTGAATTTGTATTGAAATCATGCCATTTCCATGTTTTTTTTTTCTTTCTCTCTGTTTTCTAGGGCATGCATTGGAATTATACAGACTCTGGGACTGATGTTCAGAGAAACAGAAACTGAGCCATCACGTCTGAACACATTGGCAGCTAAGAAGTAAGGTTTGAAAATATTTATTAGGACCTTGTAGTTGCAACCCATTAACTACTCTGTTGAATGTCTTCCAAAACTCATAGCTCTCTAACTTCTCTTTTCATCCCCTTGTAAGTATATTAAGTATATTAAGTATATTTGTCCCTCCACTCTGTTCTATGAACAGATTAATTGGCACATGCTGAGTTCTCTCTGTCTCTCTGTATTATTAAGGGCACAAAAATTTTCTTAGCATAATTTTATCTTTTGTCATTGTCTGATGAGCTTGAAAAAGACCAATGACCCATAGTACATTAAAAGCCAGGGGTTTTTCTACTAGAATTTTCCCGAGTACCCTTATATCCACACAGCAGAAAAATTACATTGCAAAGGCAGAAGTTATGGTAGCTTCATTTAATATATAATTATGTGACCTTGGAGTGAATGACGTTGGAGGATTTATTACCATATAGCATAAGCTGCTATAATAAAGATACTCTAAAATATGTGGCCCAAAGAAAGAAATTTACACCTTTCTCACATAACAGTCCAGACAAGATAGTCAACTTTTCCTCGACACAGGATCAGCCAGAGATCTTGGTTCCCTTCCCTTTTGTTACTCTGCCATCTTTTATCAGGCTATCTTTTGTATTTATGGTTAAAACTGGCTTTTCTTCTTGATTTCATTATACCCTATGGGAAGCAGTGAGAGGAGTAGAGGGCAAGCAAATTTCTTTTTAAAGCAAGACATATAAGACTTCTGCTCATGTTCTACTGGTGAGAACTTCAGGCATGTGGTCATAATTAGCTTCAAGAGAGGCTGGAAAATGTGTCTATAGTTGTGTGGTTATGTGCCTAAGTAAACCCTGGATGGTACTGGGGACATATGTAATTAAAAGGAAGAATGAAAGACTGTATAATAGTGGGACAATATTTTTTGCCAATAAGGTATGTGTTTACATGTTTTGCATATTATCTGCTTGGACTTTTTATAGGAAGCATTTTTGGCTTTTCAGGCCATATAATCTCTGTTGCAATTACTCAACTCTGTCAGTGCAGTACAAAATCAGCCATAGATAATACATAAATGAATGGCCATATGTTCCAATAATACTTTATTTACAAAAACAGCATCTGGACCATTGGCCTACAGGCTAGTTTGTTGACCCCTGCTTTTCTAGGAAAAGATACTCTTGTTCTTTTCTCTGCATACTTCTTTATGCAGCTGGTAGTACCACCATTTCCCCTATCTCCAAGGTGGAAATTCAAGATCATTTCTAATAGTCCTGTTTTCTCCCACACTGAAATTATTGCTAACTCATGTTACTCTTTTTGTGCACCTTTTGGTCCCTATCTTTCTCTATTCAAGTTGGAAAAAAAATCACTCTTACTAATTTATACTATAAAGTGTTGTATTTTAATTGTTCAGTCTTAACTTGGTTTGAGCACATTAGCCCTGCTACATCAAGTTTCTTTCCTTATATGTGTAATGCTTTTCATGTCCTTCAATACATATTGCTATAATAGAGTGTGG